AATGGAGATGCCAGTGCATAGTGTCTTACAGGAAGAGGACATCCAAGGGATTGATTGGGCCTAGCTAAACACAAACAGTATCAAATACATCTACTCTTTTATTTGCTGTTTAAAATATGGTATTCCCTGCACTGCAGACAGGAGATCAATTGGGTGTGCTTTCTGACTGGAATACAATACGTAGCCCAGGCTAGCTCCTCTTTACCATACTCTTGCCTATCATTGAGAGTGTTTGGATTCCCTATTTTAGCTATGATGCCTGGCTAGTGAATCTGGCTGTCAGACAGTGCATAGTTGCCTTGTTGTAGTTATATATTATTTACGATTTACTAAAACTTGACTGAGGATACAGAAAGCAAAATCAGCGTAAAGCTGTAGAGATCACGCAGTGGTGGCTCACACCTTTAATCCCTGAAGCAGAAGCTAGTTGGTGCTGGTCCACACCTTTAAACCTAGGACTCCGTATTGAGAGACAGACTTATCTCTCTGAGTTCAAGACTACCATGGGATCCATGAGATTGAGTTAGTGTAAAAGAGTAACAGATCACAATCACACACCTTTAATCCCAGCACTAGAGAGGTATAAAAGATAGAAGCAGCGTCCTCAGTATTCACTGTCAGTCATACATTCTGCAGGCAGGAAAGAGAGGCAGCAGTTCGAGGTTTGGTGGAGAGGTTGTCTGTGGATCAGCCCTTACTGCCTGAGACTGAGGTAAGAGTTAGTTGCTAGCTGCTTTGCATTTTTGAACTTCAACTTGAAGTTTGAACAACAATATCAGTCTCTGGGTCAATTATTTAGCATGCTGCTCCTGCCATGGTGGCAGGAGCCTCTAGTGGCAGCATTTTATGTGCATAGTAAGAGGACTGCAGGCCAGTCTATTTCTCTGTAGTGTGGCTTCAGGTGAGTTCAGGTTAGGGGATCAAATAAGATTCGCTATGTCTTTATGTAGGTGGATATGTTGTGGTGTTGTGAGCCCAATATAAATATGTCACAAGTTTGAAAGAGAGGCAGCAGTTGGAGGTTTGGTGAAGAGGTCGAGTGTGGATCAGCCCTTACTGCCTGAGACTGAGGTAAGAGTTAGTTGCTAGCTGCATTGCTTCTGAAATTCAGCTTCATGTTTGAACCTCTATATCGGTCTCTGGGTCATTTATTTAGCATACTGCTCCTGCCATGGAGGCAGCAATTTATGGGCAAAGTAAGAGGACTGCAGGTCAGTCTAGTCTCGGTAGTGTGGCTTCAGGTGAGTTCAGGTTAGGGGATCAAATAAGATTCGCTATGTCTTGATGTAGGTGGATATGTTGTGGCGTTGTGAGCCCAGTATACAAATGCTCCGAGTCTGAGCCATATTCCCAGGGCATCTATCTGTTTTTGTTTAAATTGAGGAAAAGAGAACATCTCTTCAGACAGGGATGTTTGTCCTGGATGTGTGATCATTTATGCTCAGGACCTTGATTCTAGTTCCCAGGTGTGCCTTGTATGTGCTTCCTGAATTTGTCGTTTTTAATTGTCATTCTTAGACAATCTCAAGTCAAATAGTGAAGGCTGAAGCAACCACATTCCTAAAGATTAGTTCTCAGTTCAGCTGCAACATGTAGCTTGTGTCCATAAAGCTAGAAGCAGATCCCAGAAGAATTTGTAAATTATAATTCAAACAATTATGAAACCCTAATCAGGAATGCATTATAGAAGGGAGTGCTAAGTTTTAAACAACATCATAGATTCTAACTGGAATTCTAAAATGGGCATAGAAATCATGCAGAGCCAGAGTGATCTGGAGCTCAGGAACAGCCTTGCCTATTATAGACAGGTCTCCAGAAAAGTCCAGTGTGGTGACTCTTACCTTTAATCCCAGCACTCAGGATTACAAACATTTGACTTCAACCAGGTTCCACATCATTGGCTTTCCTGTCTTGGACAGATGTGATCGCCACTATGTACATCCCAGACCAGTGACTCCATGCACGACTCACAGTTCATTTCACGTTTTTCCATGGGACACAATCTCTGCTAAGCTACTGATACCAGCCTTGAGCTCACTCTGAATTTCATGGGGGTGTTGACTTTGTTCCTGCTTTCTCATCCTTCTGAGCAATGGCTGCTTCATGGGGCATCAGAATGGGTAGTTCCCAGATCTAGACCAAGCTGACTATGTCATGGGGTACAAGTGAGGCCACAAGATCAGCCTGTACACAGCACAGCAAACAAGCCTATAGGTAGTGCTAATTTAGCTGTGTGGTAGAGGTGCACACCTTTAATCCCAGTATTTGGGTGGCAGAGGCAGGACCATCTCACTGAATTCGAGGCCAGGATAGGCTCCCAAGCTACAGAAAAAAAGTGTATCTAAAGAAACCCACACAAAGAAGGAAAATAAATCACAATTTAGAGAGGTGGTGGTGGCAGACACCTGTGGTAAAATACTTTTCATGATTTATTAAAGCCACTGCAGATCAAATAGCAAAGCAACCATCCTAGTTATGCAAATTCCAGGCACACCTTTAATCCCAAAACAGAGCAACCCAGTTCATGCCTTTAATCCCAGCACTGCCTTTACTCCCAGCACTGCCTTTAATCCCAGCACTAGAGAAGCATAAAAGGTAGAAGCAGGGACTTCAGTAGTCAGTCTTAGGATTATTCTGCAGCCATACTGAGGAGAGGCAGCAATCTGAAACTTGGTGAGACCTGGTGGAGACAGGATCAGTTCTTTCAGCCTGAGGTAAAGGTAAGAGGTAGTGGCTTGGGTCCTTTGCTTCTCTGATCTTCAACTTAAGCTTGAACCCCAATATATTTCACTGGGTCTGTTATGTATCTTGTGACACACACCATTAATCCAGGCACTCAGGAGATAGAGGCAGGCAGATCTCAGTTAGTTCCAAGCCAGCCTGTTCTCCAGAGCTAGGACCAGGACTGTGGAACTGTTATACAGAGAAATACTATCTCAAGAGACAATAGAGAAGTCCTAATCTTCACCAGAATCTCAGTTCCTTTTCTTTCCTGAAAGTAGATCTAATTGAAATGAACATGTCCTATTTAGATGCACTTCCACAAAGATAGAAATGTACAGAAACCCACTTTTGAAACCAATCTTCTAGGTAACGATTCCTGAAAAGGTAAACCAGATACAAATAAGCAAACTAATTAATTAATTAATTAACAATACACAGAAAAATCATTAGTGTTTTGAGGTGACTTGGGGCATGGGTTTTTGCTGTCAGTATAGACTCAGTTCATTCTCTTTTTTGATGGGAGATCTAATCAAACTGGTCTCACAAAAGTCACACCACTATAATCAGGCAAGAGGATTACTGAGACTTCGAGCTCAGCTCAGGGTACATAATGAGTTCTGACATACCTGAGTTACATAGAGAGAATTTATATGAAAATTACAAACATATTAATGTAAGGAAGAGAGTGTATCCCAGTGTTGTGAGTTTGTGGAGTAGTGTTATGGAGGCTTTTGGGACTTGACCACCATCTGGGATTTCATGCTTTCCCACATCTGATTCACTCAAGCCGTGGATATAAAAGACCAAGTAGGACTGGATTTGGAGATGCCCAGTTATCCAATCAGATGGCAGCTTTTGGCTGAGAGGTGGGCCTATGAAGGGAAGTTGTGATTGTAAAGGGGCATATAAGGGTTATCATGGGCAGGCTAGGCACTGTTTTTTGGATCCTAAATGACTACCAGGACGTGCTGGCATTTGAACACCTGTTATGTGTGTCCTGATCAGGTAAGCCATTCACCCCCATCAGATCACAAAACCTTACCCAGGATCACCAGACTCTTAGGTCAGCTTAGTATTCTTGATTTTGTTGTTGTTTTCTTTGGTGTGGCTCTTTTGAAACTGATAATTCCATTTAGCCGAGGCTAGCCTAGAAGTGCATATATAGGCAAATGTTATGATTAATGAGACCTCGAGCTAAAATTATGTGTCTTTTTATATATTGCTGAGGTTGTTATATTCAAGGGCTAAGGCACATTTAGCAAGCACTGTCCAACAACTCTAATCTTCTTTGAAGGTATTTAATTCAAAGTGACTACAGACTTATTAAAGGCAGCTTAAAAAATTCTAGAGAACATCATTTAGCCATGAATCTCGGGAAAGCATCAAGATGACAATTCCCAGTATCAAACTCCTAAAGAGTGGTCTGGAGCTTACTGTGGCTCCAGGTTGTAAAGATTTCCAATTAATGGCAATTCTACCCATTTCTTATATTCAGCCAACAAGTTCCATTGATAGAATGCCAAGCATACTTGCCTGAGGGAAATATCACTTTGCTCTTGAGGATCATGACAGATATTTAAAGATGGCTGCCAACAGAAGAATCTGGTTCTCATTTGATTCTCCAATTTCTCTTTATCCTGAGCAGTAGTATTCACTGGAACAGAGATTTTTATTGGTCAAATAACAGAGAGATTTGTTTAAAGTGGTGTTCATCTCCAAGTGATCTTAGAGGGATTTATGGCCATGAGAAAGTCAGAAAAGGATTAATGGACAATACGTGATTTCAGGCTATTCTAGACTAGTGACAGAAAGCCTCCATGGTTTAGGCAATGAAGGGGAAAAGGGGCATGCCCAAAAGGGTTTATTCTCTGCATCTTTCTATAGAACCTGTGTATATTAAGGTCAGGATGAGATCCCCATCCTCGCTCAAGCTGCTGGCCATAAGAAGTCTGCTGAAAGATGAAGCATTTGCTATCTCTGCTCTGAAGGCCCTGCCCATGGAACTCTTCCCACCCCTATTCCAAGGGGCCTTCGATGGCAAACAAACAAACATCCTGAGGGCCATGGTGGCAGCCTGGCCCTTCAGATGCCTTCCTGTGGGAGCCCTCATGAAGATTCCTGACCTGGAGATTATGCAGGCTGTGCTGGATGGCCTTGACCTGCTGATTAAGCAGAAGGATCGACAGAGGTAAGTGAGAAACTGGTAGCATGGAGGGAAGAGTGTGGGTAGTGGGTGGTGACTACAGAATTCAGAATGGGTTCAATTTGAATCAGAGCTTTCTTACAGAAGTGCATAAATGAATAGGGACGGTGTTTTGTGGAGCACACCTTAATAAATGTAGATACCTACAGTGACTCTACCTCTGCATCTTCTTCCCCTAGCCAATAGAAATGGTTTAAAGAATGGAATTAGGGGAAGTCAATATGTAGGGTTTAGGCAGAGTGTACATAGCTAGTCCTGTCTGTCACTTGATTCTCTTTCTTGTTTGACCAACAGGAGTTGCAAACTAGAAGTGCTTGATCTTCGGGATGCAGAGAATAACTTCTGGCAGGTGTGGGCTGCAACAGAGGATGGTGTCTGCCCTCCAGATATCATTGGTGAGAGCCAACCAGCGATGCATCTTCCCATACGACAGGGAAATCAGGTTGTGACTGTGATGATGAACCTTTCCCTCCAGTCAGTGGATCTCTGTTTATTGCTAAAATATTTCCACTCGTGGGCCAAACAGAGGAAAGATGTGCTGCAGGTGATCTGTGAAAAGCTGGAGTTTGGGGCCCTCCCTGTCTATAAGCCCCTCATGCTGCTGGAGGTATTTGAGCCAAGGTCTATACAGGAGTTGGAACTGAATGCATGTTGGGACTTGCGAACCTTTGCAACGTTTGCCCCTGGCCTGGGCAAGATGAGAAACCTTCAGAAACTCCTTGTGAATAATATCTCCATTCCTTCAGAATGGTTTAGTAACATAGAGTTGAAAGAATGGTGTTTTACAGAGATCATTTCGCAGTTCTCCCAACTCAACAAGCTCCAGCAACTCTATTTGAATGGTGTCTTCTTCCTAAATGAAAGACTGGACCAAGTGCTCAGGTGAGGAGGATACAGAGCTCGCTCCTCATGGCATAGAGGAGCTTTTCCTTGTTACATGAAACATCAGTGCACACCTGAGGTTTCCCATTCATCCCCGAGTATATGACCTGAGGATGACCGATCTAGTCCTCTGTCTGCTACACTAAGATCCGCGATGTATAAAATGTCTTTGCTAGGGACACAGATGAAGGGAAAGCAGATCTACAAAGGGAATGGCGTTTTATATCCCATGTTGCCCCATGTCAGCCCTGACCTCAGAACTCATGCACAGTTTATATCTGTCTTTGATTCTCCAAGGGGCAGGTGTGCTTTATGCACATGTAGGGCCTGAGAAACTTATGTCTCTGAGGATTCATGAGAAAGGTTTGCCTTTTCAGCTGGATAGAGTTAAGTAGCTTGGTTGCTTTTCTTCTCTGATCTTCACCTTGAAGCTTGAGCCTCAATATCTATCTCTGTGTTTTATTTATCAAGCTACATGCTAAAGACACTGTCTTTTTTCATTATATAATTTTTGTTTCGTTCTCAAAAACCAGGCGGTGAGTGCAAAACTCAGGTCTTTCATTCCATTCCGTTTATACAAATGTCGTTTATATGCTAATACCAAACAGGTTTTTTATTACTATAGCTCTATAGTAGACCTTGAAGTCATGGATAGTGATAAATCTAGAAGTTCCTTGATTTTACAGAGGTTGTAAATATCCTGTGTTTTTTCATTTTCCATATGTAATTAAGCATTGTTCTTTCAAAGTCTGTGAAAAATTGCACTGGGATTTTGAGGGGAAAATATTGAATCTATAGATTGTTCTTGGAAAGACTGCCATTTTTACTATGTTGATCCTATTGATCCATAAGCATGGGATAATATTGAATTTTGTGATAGCTTCTCAAAATTTTGTCTTCAAATACCAAAAAGTCTTGTCATACAGGTCTTTCAGCAGTTGTCTGTTAAGTACATTTGAGTCATAACATCTCTTAGCTCCTTTTTTTCTGTTAAGTTTCTGTCTGGCAACATGTCCATTGGATAGAGTTTGGAGTTTAGGTTTCCCACTATTAATGGGTGGAGTTCTATATGTGATTTGAGCTTAAGAATATTTCTTTTACAAATGTTGGTACCTTTGTATTTGAGGGATAGAAGTTCAGAATTGAGACTTTAAGTCTTGAACTATTTCTTTCATCTGTTTGATTTTTTTCTTTGGCTTTCTTTAATGGGTTTATTGATTTCTTCCAACGTTTTCGGTCCTTTACTTGATTTCTTTAGGGCAATTTTTCATTTCCTGTTTAAGAGCCCCTATCATCTTCTTAAAGTTATTATTAAGGTCATTTACTTATATTTCAGCTGTACTGGAATGTTCAGATTTTGCTCTTGTAGCATATCTGGGTTCTGATGTTCCCATATTCCTCTTTTGCTTGTTGGATATATTATCATGCTCACATTTACTCATCTGTTATTCCAACTCGTTTGAATTGTGTCTTTGCCCCAAGTAATGTGTTCTTTCAGATGGTATGCCTTTTGAGCTGTGCCTGTTCTTCCAACTAATGTGGTTTGTGTCTGTTCCTATGTAGTCTTCTGGAGTTGCAGGGGAGCAAGGGCCATGGGAAGGACTTTTTGGGTGCCTGCTTGTTGGATGGTTGGAAATGCATCAGAGCATTGAAGTTCCGCCAGAGTTGGAAACAGGCTCCGGCTGGCTTGGTGATGCAGGTTTTCCAAATGTTGTGATTTGTGGCTGATGCCATATGCCTGTTCTTTCACTGCTGTGATTAGTACATATGTCTGTGTAGTCTGCTTGCGTTGTAGGGGACGGCTGGCCGTGGACAGGGTGTTCAGGTACATGAGGTTTGGTGGTGGAGTGGCACTTGGAGGGACAGAGTCCAGTGAATGGCAGGGGTGGGTGGCACAGCTGGGAGACACGGCTCTCACCTGCTTGTGGGTTGCTGGTGAGTGCATCAGAGGAGTGGCTTTCCTCCAGAGGTTGTGGCAGGGCCCAGCTGCCTTGACCCATTTCCTCATCACTCCTCCATCTCAGTCACTGGATATCAAGGATCAGTTCTGAGTTTTGCTGTGAGTAAATATCTCTGCTTCCATCAGTTAGTGGATGAAGCTTCTAGGATGGCATATAAGGAAGTCATCAAAGTGATCATCAGGTAGGGTCTAATATTGTAGTCTCTATGCTATTACTCAATTTTCCAGTTGTTGTTATCCTTGTAGTTCCCTGAGAATCTCACTAGTGTCAAAGCTATAATGTCTCCAACCCTTATGGTATCTCTCACACTGGTATCCTCTAATCTTATCCTGACTCAACTCTCCTGCACCCCCATGTATTCTTCTACCCTCCTCTTCCCCCCTCCATTTTTCCGGATTCCCTGCCCACTCCCTCCATGTTCCCAAACTACTCAAGATATCTTACCTCATTCTACTTCTCAGTGGTATAATGCACATCTCTTGGGAACCTCCCTGTTTCCCAGACTTACTGGCACTAGTTTTAAAGGATGAAACTCGCCTGATCCATGTCTAAAATCCATATATGCGTGAATACCTACCATGATTCTCTTTTTGTGACTGGTTTACCTCACTCAGGATGGTTTCTTCTAGTGCCACCCGTTTACCTGAAAATTTCAAAATTCCATTTTTATTCCGCTGAGTAGTACTCCATTGTGTAAATGTACCACATTTTCTCTATCCACTCTTCAGTTGTGGGGCATCTAGGTTGCTTCCAACCATCTGGCTATTACAAATAATGCTGCTATGAACATAGTGGAAAAGACATCCTTTTTGTATGAATGGGCATGTATTGCCTAAGAGTGGGATTGCTGAGTCTTGTGGTAGACTGATTCCCATTTTCCTGAGGAATCTCCATAATGATTTCCAGAGAGTCTGTACAAGTTTGCACTCCAACAAGCAATGGACCAGTATTCCCCATCCTATCCAGCATAAGCTCTCATTGGTGTTTCTAATTTTAGACATTCTGACAGGAGTAAGATGGTATCTTTGAGATGTTTTGATTTGCATTTTCCTAATGGCTAAGGTTATTGACACTTTCCTATTTTTTCAACATTGTTAATGAGGGAAATTGGTCTGAGGTTTCCTAAGGGTCTGTTCTTCTGTCACTTTTGATTTCAAATTTTCTTAATTTGGATATTCTTTGTCTTTTGATTATTTTGGAAAAAGATTGTTCTATGTTGTTGATTTTCTCAATTTGAACCCTCTGTTTCTCTGATTTTTATAGTGTGCTCTTTTTTAATTTTTTTATTTCAATACTGAGTTTGAATATTTCTTGTCATCTACTCTCCTTGGGTGAATCTCCTTCTAGGGCTTTCATGTGTGCTGTTATTCTCTAGAGTGAGAGTCTCCAAATTACTTTCTTATACTTTATGATTTTTTATTTTACATAGCAATCAAAATATCTTCTTCCCTCCCCTCCTTTTTTACCTGTCCTCTACTGGATAGGTATTATTTAAAACTTTTTCTGTCATGAAATATCTTATTTTGTTGGTTGAAGGTGATTGAAAGTTTTGTTACATGCAGTAGTCTGGGATGATGACTCTGGTCCCTTAGTGTCTGTGAAATGTCTGTCCATGTCCTTCTGGACTTTTGCCCAAGATTGTTCTGAGCTCTCGGAAACACTCAGAGTTGTAAGAGAGCCTAAAGAGATCTATTTTGTGAGTAGGAGATGTGTAGATTGCCAGGGATTCTATGTCTATAACCTGGAGGTCTCCCTATGCTCATGTTGGGAATAAATGATGAGTGAATACTCTTGGACTCTGAGAAATGAAAGCCAGGACTCAAGTGAATCATCAGAGACACAGAGGATGTCGATTCAAGGGATTTCAGACTCATTTGGAAACAATATGGTTTCATTGATTCAGACCCAGAGAGAGAAGTGTTGGCCTGGAGCATCAGTGCCTCTCCATCTGCTGAGCGCCAACAGTGAAGACCCGACCTCGAACAGGTTCACGAAGTTTGAAAATGGTAGGGATATTGTCTCAGCTCAACCAAGTGATGAGAGACCATAGACACAGTGAAGGGGAGAAAGGAAGGATAGTACAAAGAGCACAATTTACTGGAAGAGGTAGCTTCCACCTCTGTGTTTGTTAGGCCTCCATCTCTTCCTTGTCCACCTTACATAAAGATTTGTAATATATGCGCATATGTCTCTTTTATGAACAATAACTTGGACTGAAGTGTGAACTGCTGTTGAGCATACAGTACTCCCAGTACTCATGTTGATCTCTCTTCCCCTGGTTGGAGAGGGATGTAAGCTTGCTGTCATTTCCCCCATTATCCTTCCCACTACACTTTTCAGTAAGTTCAATAAAAACACTTTTTCATGAGAGAGTGTCTTGAATTCTTTAAATTTATTGAGGCAATTCATTGTCAATCTCATACTGCTTCATCACACTTACTCTGTTTTCCTAGTCTTGTATTCTCTTGTCTCTATGCCTTCTGAATCCTGGAAGTTCCAGTGAAAATAATGGCACACATGCCTTGCACTTAGAGATTTTCTGCACCTCAATTGCATATACCCCCTCCAGAAATCTAGAGAGAATCCCTTGGAGAGATGGCTCAGATGGTAAGCGTGCTTACTGCTCCTTCTGGGGATCAGTGTTTGGTTTCAGCAGCCAGATACACTTTGAACTGTTTCAGGTAATCTAAACTTTATACATGGTCTCTGGGAGCACTTGCAGTCATTTCCATCTACACACAAACAGCACACGTGCCCTTTAATACACATAATTAATGACAATTAAAATCCAAATGAAAATATATTCATAGAATTAAATATGAAGACTGTCTGAAAGGTTGATATATCCACTGAAATTAACACATCAAAGTATGAAATAGCAAATTGCAGGTGTAACGATGATGCCCATGAGTGATCTACACAGTAGAGGATAAGGTAGAGGATAATGTATGTTTGTGCATAAAGGCTGTGGTACCAAATCAACGGTTTATACTTACCGTGTTTGAAGGAATCCCATCTCTACTTCATGTGGAAGGATGACTTCAGACACCTTTCTGTGAAAGGTTCCTTTTGATACACTTGAAAAATGTCAGCATCTCCTAAAGAAAGCTCTTCTTGGTCTTTGCCATGTTAACTTCCGCAAGATAATAAACAGCCATGTTTTCAGGACAGGCCTTCTCTTTCATTTCTTATCCTGAGTGGGCCTTTGTTAACAATGGGAATGTCAAATGATTCTTCTCTCTCTGTCTCTCTGTCCCTATCTCTTTCCCTCTGTCTCTGTCTCTCTATGTCTCTCTCTCTCTCAGTGTCTCTGAACCCAGAATGTTTACCAGGATAATATTCAGGGTTTAGTTTGTTTTTCCCCAGGACATTCTGGAGATCTCAGTAAGGTCTCTGTGCTTCTGTAGAAAACTTTCATCTGATCCACCTAGAGATCCCCTACCATGAGTAGCTCTACCCTATTGTTGATTGCATTTCGGGGTTGCTGGTGTGTCTACTTCAGAGTGCACACAGTCCACCTCATCCCAGCATTTCTAAAACTATGTCTGTGGTCTTTTTCCTCTGTCCAGCACAGTGACCTAGTCTGTCTCAAAGCTGTGCATGCAGATAGATCCATGTTTATCGCCATGCACAAAACTTAAGTCCAAATGGATCAAAGACCTCAACATAAATCCAGCCACACTGAACCTCTTAGAAGACAAAGTGGGTGGTACCCTTGAACGAATTGGTACAGGAGACAGCTTCCTGAACATAACACCAGTGGCACAGACAGTGAGATCAACAATTAACAAATGGGACCTACTGAAACTGAGAAGCTTCTGTAAGGCAAAGGACACTGTCAGCAAGACAAAAAGGCAGCCCACAGAATGGGAAAAAATATTCACTAATCCCACATCTGACAGAGGGTTGATCTGCAAAATTTACAAACAACTCAAGAAGCAAGTCTCCAAAACACCAAAGGACCCTATTAAAAAGTGGGCTGCAGAACTAAATAGAGAATTTTCAATAGAGGATCCTAAAATGGCTGAGA